CTGAGAATGATTAGGGGAATGAAAAGACTGGAATGGAAAAAAAAAATAGCCTGGGCTGTTTAATGTAGGAAAAAATACAAAAGAGCTATACATAGRCAAAGCTATTTTTAACATGGATTCACTAGTAATAATCAATAATACCAACTGAGGAAGCATTTGATGAAGCAGGCAGCAAAGTTAAAAYGGATAAAGCCACACAGCTGGCCCATGGAATTTGTTGAAAGAAGATATCACCAAGATCAGGATTCTGTTAAGATTCATTGCCAGAAGAAAGACTTTTCTGTTTTGAGTTGCTTTCCAACTGTTTTTAAAAGGAAAATATTTATAACTGGAGCTGCTGTATGCTAACCTGCCTGGGGGTAAGCACAGTTTATCTTTTGTCTACCTTCATGTCAGCTGGGGTAGGTCGAAGCCTTTGTTATGCACTAGCCTGCATTAGAGAACTACCCCATTTTCACATCCTGCAGATCCACTTCTTGTCTGTACTCTCACCTGCTTGCTCTGAAATCCTGTGTSATGTGCACAGTACATCATGACCAGTACACAAAATGAAGACCCTACTTACTGAAAATATTAAAAGCTGTTTAACTGCTACCTGAAAAAAAAAAAACATACAAGAATCCTTTCACACAAATATTTCTAACAGGCACATAGAAAAATAAAACATTATTTAAAAGATCTGTGTGTAACAAGGCATGCAAACAGCAAATAGGACGGTAAATTAAACTGGACTGCTGTGTAAACTGTGTCCCTCACACACAGCAGATACCACCAGACACAAATGTATATATTTGCAGATGTATATGTATATATGCTCATTTTCACAGCACAGACCTGACTGTGAAGGGAAGAGGGCCCGGAGACAAGAGAAGGCAAGAGGGCCTTTGGCTTGCTTCATTGAAGTTGTGACCTATGCCGGTCCCTCAGACATACTAAATGAATCGTAACTGAGAATGTATGGAAGAACTTTATTAAAGTACATAAACATTGATCTGTGCTTGTGTGGTGACTCCAACATACCTTGMAAAGATCCAATTCGAAGTACAGAAGTGTGTTGATTTATTAGTCGTGCATGTGCTGTCTGTTCACTGCCAGGCYGGCCGGCTCTTCCGCTTTTAGACCTACCAACTTTCCCAGCAATTAAAGACACCATGTGAGCAGTCACTCCCCATGTAACCCTCGGGTGAAGAAAGACAGAGTAGCAGAATGGATGTGAAACAGTGAGGATGGGCAGGAAACTGCTGAGGGGAGCAAGGCAACGTAATTTCTGTTTCTGGGATCTGTATTCCAAAATTTTGAGTTACCCAAGGACTGTATGCTGCAACCATAGTCTTCGCTGGAGCGATTACTGTCAGACACAGGGTACCCAGGTGCATCTTGAACTTCCCTCGTCCTAATCTCAGATTTCATTGCAGTTTAAACCGATCACCTTTTGTGTCTGGGAACAGGCAACTCTTAAAAGTAATGTGAGCTGTTAAAGGGAAGATCTTGCGTGATGGTCCTCTGTCTTGCCTGGGATCTGATACTTACCTGATTTCCACACGTTCTGTGAACTGGTTATTTTCAATATGGAGCTGTGTCAAGAATGGCTTCTTAATTAAAGTGTTATTTTAGGCCTGTCCTGATAATTATTAACTCAATTAATAAAGAATAAAAATAGTAAAAATAAATAATTTTCCCACAGATAAGGCAAGCGTASAAGTTTACTTCTAGAAGAGAAATACTTTGTTTAGTTGCACATAGAGAAGAGCCGTTTGGCAAATGGATTTGCTAGTGCCAAGGCATCGCCAACTCTCTGCTCCCTGACCCTATGGGAATCACTTCTGCAGGTATCTCAGGTAACATCGCATATCAAGAGATGCGTGCAGAAAACAGAGGAAATAAGAGTGGGAACAAATGAGTAACTGGTAATTTCTGTCATACTTCTATTTTTTTGTTGTTGTTGTTGGGGGGCGGGGGGGAGTAGCAATGCTTTCATATGCCTTGGGGAATTAATGTTTTTTTCCACACAGCACTGGACTACAACTTGTGTCCACGAGAACCTCCGTCCCTTCTCTCTCCCGCGGCGCGGCGGGACGAAGCTTCGCGAAGGCCATCTTGGCGCCCCGGCGGCCATCTTGGCGCCGCGCCGGGACCGCTCCGCCGCCCTGGGCCACCGCCGCCCGCGGCGCCCGGCGCGCACAAAACGCGAGGGAGGCGCGGAGGGAMCCGGTGGGAYAACCGCGCTGCGGCTGCGGGGCCCGGCGCGGAGGAGGAGCCGCCGCGGAAGCCGGCGGGCCACCCTCCCGCTCGGCCGGCCGCGCCGGCCGCCATTTGCGCGCGGCGGGGGCGGAGCTGGTGGGCGCCGGGGCGGGCGATGGCGGCGGCGCTGGCCGAGGTGGCGGCGCGCCTGGGCCGGGCGGCGGTGGGGCCGGCGGCCGCCCGCCTGGAGAGCGTGCGGGCGCTCGCGGCGCTGCTGCGGGAGGCGCAGCCCAGGTTAGCGGGGAGGAGGCGCCGCTGCCACGTGGGGCGGCGGGCAGGGCGCTGGGGCGAGAGGGGCCGGCCCGGCTGCAGCCCGGCGCTCTGAGCCGGGGAATAGGCTGGGGCCGCGCCGCTGGGCTGAGCTGCACCTGCCAGAGCCGAGCGGCGGCACAAGCCGCTCGCTCTGAACGCACGTGAGGCCTCCGGGGGATACCGTGGGCCATGGCGGCTCTTGGTCCATGCACCCGAACAGGCTGCGTCTGCCGAACGTGGGCGGGAGAATCCTGGTGTCCTTCCCGTTAGTAACGTGCACAGAAAGCTGCCGTGGAGAGCAAGGGCTCCACGCGCGGAGGTGTTGGCCCGGTTGGCGTTAGCAAGGTTTGCTGGGCGCACAGGCTCAGCCCCGGGAATGCCCTTCCTGGGTGACCTCAGGCCTTGCGGGAAGGTGGGAGGCCGAGTGGGTTGGTGCCACGTTCACAGGTTGACTTGACGCTTGCCGTGTGACACGTCAGTTCCTCRTGGGTGAGAAGAAGTAAAGGTGCCAAGGCTGGGACACACCGTTGTTGAACTGAACCACGAGCCAAGCCCTGCACGCTCAGCGTTTGAAATACTGATTTTTGGTGATGGGTCCTGTTATTGTGTGAGGGTTGTATGTTTGGTTTGTAGCGACAGAAGAATTAAAAAAATGCGAGTTCTGGTGGTCCATATTTTGGAGCAAATAGAGAAATAATCTTTAACTATGTGGCAGTATGGTTGAATTTGAGAAACTTGAGGCTCACTTAACCTGTTTTGTYCTGGACCTCCAGTGCTTTGAGCATGTGGCACAACTTTGCCCTTGCTTTTCTTGCACTTCCATTCCTAATCCATAAGAGAGCTGCCTTTATTTATTTATTATTCCCAGAAATACTCTGAAGATAAATACTTCGATACAGCTGACATAAGTGGAACTTTCCTGAAACAAAAAATGGAAAGGAGCAAGCCAGCAGCTTGGGATTCTCTGTGTAGTTCTTGACCAGTGCCATGCTTTTGTGGCAGGGTTGTATTAGAGTTTTCAAGTCTGTATTCACTAGGATGTTAGCTTACAGTTTCTGATTTTAGGAGATCTTAGATCTTTTAAGTAGTAATCTTTCTTTTCAGAATATTTCAGAATATTTCAGAATATTTAAGGTTGGAAGGGACCTCTACAGATCATCTAGTCCAACTTTTGATAGTGTTATGTGAATTCCAAGTATTAAGACTTAATAAGAGACTGTGCCTTGTCTGGAGGCTGGGCTGCTTTGTGGGTTGTTTTACTTTATGTTGAAATCAAGGACAGGTGGTGGCAGCAACTTGTGAATATTCTGTCATAAGTAACAAAAAAATAGGAAAAAAGATTTTTTTCTTGAAAATTCACAGAAAAATTTTGAATGAATTTCAAGGCCTGTTTACAAAAGTATCTAAAAGCTATAAAAAACTTTTCACTTGCTAATTTTGTCAATTAGTATTTAAAGATTTGGAAAAAGGTTGTGGGAGGATGGTATCATTTTAAGACTATAATTTAAGTACTCATAGATACTGTTTTTATCTATAGGTGAATCTTTGACATAACACAGAGAAGGTTATTTTTAACATATTAATATAAGCAATCCAGCAGTCACTCTTGGTTTATTTCTGGATGTCTTTGTAGCACACGCTCAAATTGCACTGAGGTGTTTAAACATTTGTTGGGCAAGAATCTCCTTTAAATTTCTCTGAAAAAGCCCTACTCTACCAAACAGTCCTAACAGAAAGGCATACCCCTTCCTGCTAGGATAACCTCTACTGGTCCCTTACAATGTAAAGATTGTTCTTTTGTGTTGTAGGAAGAGATTTGAATTTCACCCAGAAACACCTGGTTTGAGCATGTGCTTTTTTTTTCTCCTTCACAGTGAACAAAACRGGAGAGATTTGGAGGTCTGTCTACCTTTGCTGATACCCCAGATTTTGTATATGTCACACATGCTCTGTTGGAATTGACAGTACTTTCATCTTAGTATTTTAGTAGAGAACTTTCAGTACAAATCTCTACATTCTTTACGTTACTTCCCATCTAATATTAAGAGAAAAATACCATTGCAATAACTTTTTTATTACTATTTTTGGAATCAGATATCCAGTTTGAACTGCTGCTTTATAGTGTAACTCTGTAACAAAAATAGAAACTCTTGTAGGATTGAAAAGACTGTAAAGTGTCTATTTTCATGGTARGCATCACTAGAACACAAACAAAAGCACTTGCAGTATTTTCCCATTCTACTAATTTAAAATAATTGAATGCTGTAAATTTTGCATTGACCACTGTTTTATGTAATTTGGAGTCCCGACTCCAAGTATGTATAACCAAGTGTTTCCATGTGATAGTCCAGCCCATTGCATAGATAAATACAAGAGAAACTGCTGTCAGCTTCTTGTATGTGAAGATTCGGGTCTTGAATGTCTCTCTCAAGAAACCTTGAAACTCTGAATCTTGTTTCCAGTTATGTGAAATCCCTTGTGTTTTCTTTATGACTGCAGGCCACATCTATGTTTTGTTTTTCTTGTGCCACTTGCATTTCCTCTGTGTAATGCCTCTGAGGATAGAAACAAAACTATCTTCTCTTTTTTTCCCCRATCTGTAGCTGGAACTGACTAGTGCCTTGCTTTTTATGCAGCTGGATATTCTGTAATGGTGTTAATCTTGCTCTGTAAAATGGTGAGTTTGTAGAGTAAATTATGTATTTCAGGGAGATGTGAAATCTAATGTAGCAATTGAATGATAATTTTGCAGATAGTTTGATTTAATAGAGGTGTTACTGTCTTTGGGTAACGAGTAGGAAGAATTTCTACTTGTGCAACTGTTTGGGTATTGGAGGGAACCAGCCCCAATCCAGTAGTATAGAATCATCTGCTAATCTCCATGGGAGAAGAGTTTTCTGTGCTAAAATACATTGTTTAATTTTACTTGGCATTTCACTTCATATTCTTCTCTTCCTAGCTTAAGAGATGAGAGATATTTCTTTTTAGGATATCTCTGAAAACTTAGAATATAAGTTTTCTGTTTGATCTTGAGTATMCTGTAATCCTTTTTAAGGAACAAGGAAACAGCACCTGGATTTCCTGGGTTTGTTTGATCAGGAGTATTGCAGGAGTAAATTTATTGCGCACTCCCATTGAAGAGCCATAAACACTCTTTGGTGTGGCTTCTTTTCACCAGCATGATATATCTAATCCAAGTTATCTATGGCTTTAATCTCTTACCCTAATCTCCTTTCTGGATATACAATCAGTGAGGAGCATGCAAAGCTGGTAATCTGGAAGCATTGTGTACATATGTGTGACAGATCATCTGCAGATGTGCCCATCGCCTTTGGTGAACCTGGTGAATCCCGGTGTTCAGTGCAGCGCTGCAGTATCAGCTCTCTGAGCTGTTCATTCCTTTAGTGTTGGTCTTCGTGCGTGCAGCATTGCAGTGTTACTTTGTTAAATCTCAATACACTAAAAGTTGCCTARTATATTGGGGCAGTTGCCTATTGAGTAGACAGAGCCTTCTCCTCCTTGGCCTTGATTCACATGCGTCGGAATGGTGGTTAGTGCAGTTAGTGCTATTTTGTTATGAAGCTTCTGGTAGCTTCTGAAGCATCTTGYGCTAAACATATAAGCTGTGGTCATTAATTAAACCAGTTCGAAATTCTCACCAGAACGTGTGGCATCGTGCGTAATCATGCTAGCCATTTGCACTAGGGAGACTTCTGTGGTATTCCCCATGCGACTTTGGAAAGCTGTGAGGAACACCAGACAGTACAACTCCACGGCAGCCCTTTTGGCCTTCCTACTTGAAAGACCTTGTATATAAAAGATGGTTAGAGGTTCTTGCAGAAATACCTTATGTCAGTTATAGTCTTTTTTAAATTAACCTGAAGATTCTGTTTAATAGCAAATTTGATTCACCTTTTTGATGTTCTCTCTACATCTTTATTTCTTTCAGAGAAATGGCAGATGAAAGTTTATTCCGGGATGTCCTGGAAATCCTGACGAAAGCCTCAAATGAAATGGAGCGGGTGCCTGAGGAGGCCTGGGAGTCAGGAGATGCAGCCACCTGCCTGCTGCTCATAGCAGAGTGCTTCCGGTGTCTGAGGAACGCTTGTGTTCAGTGTGCCAAGAATCAGCACCTCATGAGGTATCGTTATGACCCATGCAAAAATATAACCTTCTKATGTGTTCTCTATAGATTCTTATTTTCCCCTGCTGTGTTTGCTGCTCTTGGGTTTAGAAAGTGAACAGCTGGTAATTTGACCTTTAGGTTGCAGAAGGAGGCAGGTGTGTATGGAAATCTCTGTCATGCTTGTAGTATGAACGTCCATGTGGGTCACTCATTGAGTACTGTTTTGGCTGGGTAGCAACCTTTCTCCTAATGTGACCTTAGATGCCACGTTGGGTGCCTTTAGCAAGCTGTAAATAAGCCACGTATTTGTGTAGGGTTTAAATTGTTCTAAATTCACAGTGAATTCTGGAATTAAATGCCCTGGGTGATCAGAATTTGTAAATGGAAGGAAAATCATGCATTTATTAAACAAGCAAACAAAAACCCTCCCCCCCCAACCTATAAGGTTTTTGAAGAAGATCGAAACTGATAGTTTGTAGGAAGGCAAAGATTATAAACAAATGGATGGAGTGACAAACTTTGAAACTGCTGGGAAATATGGTGCTTTGTTTCTTCCTGGGTCAATTTTTCTGTTTTGCTTGCTGCAAAGTAATTTGGACTGGGAGGGATTAGGAAATGTTTCATGTTAATAGATTCTGTGTGTACCATTGTGTATGTGTGTATATTTAAATTTCTAAATACATCTTTAGCTTCCTTTTTATAGTACAACTTAATGTGAAAGAGCATGCATTRGTTTAACAAACATCTGTGGGCATATAATTACCCAGCATCTATCTGTGGGGATACAGTGTTTTTCAGTAACTCATGCACAGGCGTGGAGGTTTGATAGAGGTAGGATTGATATCTTCTGAAATTTCAGCTCCTCTCTGTGCTGGCCCAACTCTTCTTGAGAAACGTGTCTACTAAAGTAGAATGATTTGAAAGCTGGAGGCTTCATCCAGTACAGATTGGGGGTTGGCCTGCTGGAGAGCAGCTCTGCAGAGAGGAACCTGGGAGTCCTGGTTGACACCAAGTTAACCATGAGGCAGCAGTGCCCTCGTGGCCAAGGAGGCCAATGGGATCCTGGCTGCATCAGGAGGAGCRTTGCCAGCAGGGATCCTGGCTGCATCAGAAGGAGCGTTGCCAGCAGGTCAAGGGCAACATTCCCTTGCCCCTCCTGCTCCTCTRCTCAGCTCTGGTGAGGCCGCACCTGGGGTATTGGGGGCAGTTCTGGGCTCCCCTGTGTGAAAGGGACATGGAGCTCCTAGAGAGGGTTCAGCGGAGGGCAAGAAAGATGATTCAGGTGATTCAAAGATGATTCAGATSAACATCTCTCGTATGAGGAGAGACTGAGTGAGTTGGGCCTGYTTAGCCTGGAGAAGGCTGAGAGGGGATCTCATTAATATGTATAAATACCTGAAGGGGGAATGTAGGGAGGAAGGGGCCAAATTCTTCCCAATGGTGGCCAGTGATAGGGCAAGGGGCAGTGGGTGTAAGTTGAAACACAGGCAGTTCCATCTCCATGTGAGGAGGAACTTCTTCACTGTGAGGGTGCCAGAGCCCTGGCACAGGCTGCCCAGGGAGGCTGTGGAGTCTCCTTCTCTGGAGATCTTCCCAACCCGCCTGGATGCCGCCCTGTGCCCCRTGCTCTGGGTGTCCCTGCTGGAGCGGAGGGGTTGATTAGGTGATGTCTAGGGGTCCCTTCCAACCTTAACCATTCTGTGAGCCTGTGATCTCCCTGGACTGCATTTTTTAACTTTGTTTTGTTTTTGTTTTCCTTCCTGTTGCTTGCGTGTGTTGCCATATCTGCTCTTTTCTTGTTTTAGAAATAAAGTCATTTGGACATTTTTGATCCATCTAACTTTGCTTCTAGCAGTTTGTGCCACCACCATACCTTTATTATTGGAGCAAGTATAAATGATTATTACAGCATTCTTGCTTCCTTCACAAAATTTTCATGTTTTCCTATAGGCTGACTATATTGTTCTTTTGATTCACTAATCACTTTGCTGGTGTTTAAAATCTTACAGGTTTATTGCTAAATGACATACATGGACATTTCTGCTGAACACTTAAACTGGAAGCAAAGCAAAGTATTTAAACTAAATTGTTTTAATTGCAAACATGACCTGCTAATTTTTAACATAATTTTTAACACCGGATTTAGGCAAAAAAAAAAAAAAAAGAGAGAGAGAGAGGAAAAGATTCTTAGCTCTGAAGGTCCTGTCTCCAAAATGGCTGATGTTCAGGCAGATCTTCAATCGAAGATATATTGGTAGCCTTAAGGTTTTCCGTAGTTAACTAACAGCATCTTCTAAGGGTTCGGGGTTGGGGAGAATCATGCATCCTTCCACAGAGCGGCCAAGGCAGCATGAGAAGGCATGTGAGGTGGTTAGTGTCTCTTCTCAACTGCATCAGAGCATTAACTTGTTTTTGTTCAGTTTTGGGGTTTTTTGAGGCAGGCCTGACCTGGGTTTATCAGTGGCTGCTGATCCGGGAGCTGAATATTGTGATTGGCCATAAGAAGATGTAAAAGCTCAATAAATATTGTTTACACAGTGATTGTGTTTAGTTGCCATTCTTTAAAGCTTATTAACAAAAGATTATGAAAATGTGGTATTTCTTTTTACTACTTGTCATATTAAAGAGGTGTAATTGCATGATATTGCTGTGGATTTGAGAGGGGTTTTGGTCCCCTCTCTCTGTGTGTATATTATCAGCACATGTTTCAGTGAGAGATGATGTATTAACTAAGTAAATAGATGTTGTAAAGCAACCAGTGMTCTTGTGTGTTGTACCTGTGTTACCTATTAATAGAACAGGTTATTTGGAAAGACGGTAGTTTTGACAATGTGAAAACTGCTTCTATTCTAGATAGTCCTTTTGTGATAGAGATTTAGGGGGTCTGTACGACCAAGGATTCCTGCTGTCTTGAGGAATGCAAAGTGTTTGTGGCTAAGGTAGAGGCTTAAAGGAAAAAGTAAGCCCATTTATTTTGTTTGAGATAGCAATGTTGTAGCTTGATGTAGTCAAGCACATTAAAGTATGCCAAACTCATTTTTATTTCAAAGTTTCTGGGGACCTTATAAACTTACTATTTCAGTGAAGAGCCATGTYGCCTTATTTTAGTGTATTTAATATCAAACACTTATTTTTCTTTTCAACTTAATCATAGGAACTTGGGTCTGATTGCTACATCTGTCCATTTGATCAAGGTACTTCATGGAGCACAAGTGAAACAAGAGTCCTTATTAACTGGTAAGGCCCTGAATTTTGTTAAATGTGTAATTTGTGCAGTATCTTCATGTGGGAAATGGTGTAGTAATGCAATGTCTCATCATTGATTTTTTTTTTTTTTTTTTTCCATAAATGAGCTTAGTTGTTTCTTGAATAGTGGCATGCTAATTCTGTACCCCTTTCTTTCTCCATGATTGTGGATGGTGGGATGGAAGGCCAAAGGACTTTGCATGGTTGGTGTTTCAGTAAATGACTAAAGAAGTTAGTTAAGGGGGAATTGGTGACCTTTTCCTATGCTACTTGGAAAAAGAAATCTGTCAAAATCTTTTCTTCCTCTTTCTTTGGTTATTCTCATTGTATTTTCCATCAGCTCTTCCCTAAGTACTGTTAAAGGGATGAAATGTTGAAACAGCCTTAACATTACTAGATATTTAAACTATGAAAAGGAAAAATTCCTTAAATGTGTCTCTTAATAAACAGGTTTTGTTGTTTTATTTCATCATTATCTGATCTGCAAACATACTGAAATGAAAGAAACACTCTTGTTACTTTCCTCGGTGACACKTGAGAAATAAATTATCTAACTCCAGAAAACAAACTTGTGCAAACTTTTTTCTTTAAAAAAAAAAAATTTCTCCTTGTCCTTCTCACTAAACTATACAGCATTTGTGTAATATTTGCCACAATTAAGTAGTGATTTGAGAGATGTGCTTAATGAGTGAGTCAGTTTTTATGTGGTGAAAAGGAAATTTGACTTTGATATCTTTCCTGTTTAATGCCAGTTATAGCTGTATATTTCCACTAAACTAAACTTTCTCAAACATCAAGTTATTTTCAGTAATTCTCTTCCCTGTAGGTTTTTCCCTATGTGTGTGTGTGCGCATGTTGAACTTGATACTCTGCATTGGACAATATGGAACATCTTGTTTCTCCTGTTGCTTTTGTTTCTTTATAATCCCTMTGCTTCAGTGAAGGTTTTTCCTGGCTTCCTGTGGATGTTTTTCTTGCATTTTGTGGGAGGGGATGATTGTGATACAGAGACTGCCTTTAAACACCTTTATGGAGCTGGAGAAAGCAGTGAAATGGAGGAGGCTGTTCCTCCTCCTCATGTTGTAATAGGTTCAAAATGAAATATTTTGTCATCTGATGGTCTTATGATTATGGGAATGGAGCATCTCTCTTATGAGAAGAGACTGACTGAGTTGGGCCTATTTAGCCTGGAGAAGAGAAGGCTGAGAGGGRATCTGATCAATATGTATAAGTACCTGAAGGAGGAATGTAGGGAGGAAGGGGCCAGGCTCTTCTCAGTGGTGGCCAGTGACAGGACAAGGGGCAATGGGTGCAAGCTGAAACACAGGCAGTTCCATCTCCATACGAGGAAGATCTTGTTCACTGTGAGGGTGCCAGAGCCCTGGCACAGGCTACCAATGGAGGATGCGGAGTCTCCTTCTCTGGAGGTCTTCAAAACTTGCCTGGATGCCACCCCGTGCTCTGGGTGTCCCTSCTGGAGCAGGAGGTTGGACTAGATGATCTCTAGAGGTCCCTTCCAACCTCAGCCATTCTGTGATTCTGTGAGAAGCTGGTAGCTCAGARGAGTGACTCTTAAGCCAGGTCTGTGTCAGACGAGGAGGACTGAGGCGAGAGTGGCCTGCCCGCAGATAACCACTTCATAGACCAGTAAGATTAGAGAAAGAGTGCTGGGAACAAAGTGCTGGTGACTTTGTGCAGTAGGACATTGCCCTTGGAGCAGTAAGATAGAAAGGCCAACCTGGGGAAGTAGGCTTAGCACCTTCAGCTTGCTCAGAGCAGCGGGGATGCCAGTGCAAGAGAACYGCTATTCAACAGTAATGCCTTGGAGGGCAAGGAGTAGGATGTACCCCTTTCTTGATGGTTACTTTCATGGCTTGAGGTTTTCCCGTCAGGCTTGGGGCTGCTGACCCCGCCTTGATGGCTTAATGTTTGAGTGTCCTCTTCTCCTGCTGTTGAATAGGAATGCTGTGCAGCAATGAAGAAAGAAGAAGAAAAGGTTAACTCCTTTTGACTCCCTCTTCTAGAGAGAGGAGGCTGTAAAATGCTTATCATGATTGGAAATTAAGGGAGAAAATTAACCACAAAGATTAGTAGCAATATTTCAAATGTTTTGTAGCTCCATGGTCATTTTTATGGCAAAATAAGTTTGAGATAGAACTAAAATGTGATATATTAACCCGAGAAATGATAGTTCAGTTGATACTGTGGTTAGTATAGATCCGATGGGGAAATATCTGTGATGAATGTGGCTGAGGTACTCCATCTATGTTAGCATAACAAAAAGACAAAGTGCTACGTGTTCCATACCGAGTCATATGATTAACTCGGTTCTAAGGGAAAATTAGGCTGGTGCCCAGAGCCCAATGTCATTTTAAAGTGCATACCTTGGAAGGTAATAATTACATTCAATTTGGAATTATTAAAAGTATGAAATATGAAATAACTTGTGTACAGCTAATAAATAYCTTGCAAGCCAGCCTTGTTATAATGTCTTCTGTCTTTTTAATACATACATTGAAGCAGTTTTTAAGCATTTGCCTTGTTATGTTGTTGTTTGTCCTCTTTCTTCCTCCGTTTATTTAACAAGCTTCATGTCTTAGTTTCAGTTGCACTCCATAGCCTAATTCTTGTTCTTATATTTACTCAAATTAGTTCATAGTAGTTTGCATGCTGGGCAGTTCCCAGTGTATAAGCAGAATACCTGCTGTAAGAATCTACTGTGTAAGAAAAGTGAAATTCAACAGCCAAGTGAGTGCAGGAGTTGGTGTGCAATGATGCTAAGTAACTATTTATCTCTAATGACCCTACCCAGAAGCAATGAAGACCTGTGGGAGCCAGATAAATAACACCTGCTTGTAAACATGCTGTGCTTTCTTACGTGTTCTCTTTCGTTCTTGCTGCAGTGATCCTAGTCCTTCCTGCAAAAGAAGGAAGTTCCCGGTAACTGAGGGGGGAAGAATTGAAGTACTATCCTTTCTGGACAGTCTTTGAAAATTAAGCATGTCCTTGGTGTTCTTACAGCTAACAGTGAGAATTTAGGAAGTGGGYGGTTGTGCATGGTAGTAATTACTCTTAGGTTATGGAACTTGGCTATTCCTTATAGGAGGACAGAGAAGCTGACRGACATCCCTCCCCTTTCCCCCCAAGCACTGAATCAGAATTGCTTTGAGTCGGGATTGAAAATGCAGGAGCGGTACCTGCTTGTGCTGAAACGCTGGGTACAAGGAGGTCCCTTGTACCTCCATGTTAACTCCTTTAAGAACACCATCTTCTACCAAACAGGAAATGAGGTAGTCAGGGCTTAACTTTGGCTCTTATGACCAAAAGATTTAGATCTCCAGAGTGTAGATTTGGTGGGAAATTTCGTAGTACGCTGTCCATGTCCCTTCTGTTGTAGGATTTTTCTTTTTTGGTAATTAAAAAGGCCCCAGGATAAGAAGCCTTTTTCCATTGTGGGTACAAAGACCAAGAATGCTCACCAGAGGAACAGGCTGATATAGCTGCCAGATGAACTTTAACTGAACTTAGAACAGGCCCAGATCTCATAAGAGCTAAGAAGTAGTTCAGTATGTTAGGGGTTGTAGCAGACATAGGAAATACCCTTGTCAGAAGCCTGAGTAGAAAATCTCCTTCACTTCATAGCATGTGTCTTGTTTTTCTCCTGCCCCTCCTTTTTTCCTATGGTAGCTCTTAAACTTTCCAGCAGAACCTAGCAGACCTTTGGGAAGGCATGTTGAGGTTTGTCAAGATGATCTATCTTTAGGTTCCAAAGTCTGAGATCAGGATTCAGGATTCACATCTAAAATAGAGGAAAACTGGTGGCTTTGTTTCTAGCTGCCAAATTGTAGAGAGGACATGCCAGTTTGGAAGCAGGCGTGTGTTCAATAGGCTATGTCCTGTCTGATCCTTCCATTGATTGTGGGGTCAGAAGGAGCTTTAATCTTTTTGTTTGTAAATAGATCTCCTGCAGCCTTTCACCACTTCAAAATATTCCCCGTGCTGAAGAACGTGCTTTGAATTCCAGCATAATTGCTTATAAAGTACTTATCTGCCAAAATACTTTGCAGTATTTTCATCCCGAAGGATGAAAAGGCACTGAGTGCCTGGTAGGTGCTCCGTGGGGGACAATTTGTCAGGCGGGTTCCCTGAATGAGCTGATTGTGCTCTGGGAGCCGGGCTGCGTGCGACGGCCTCGGTGCTGCCGCGGGAGGCGCTCCGAGCATCCTCGCAGCTTCCCTGGCTCTGGGAGCTGCCCGGGAGGGTCGTCTTGTGCTGCTGCCGTGTAGCACATGGGTGTCGTGTTTGTGCTCCTGCCGTATGGCGCGTGGGTGTCCTGCTGTGCTCAGGCCGTTCCCCTTGCCTCTAGAGGCTTTGATCACCTGTAGTGACCAGCATAAATGTGCATTAATAGGAAAATATTAACAGTGCTGGCTGCTCCTGCAGATCTCCATCAAAATCTCGCTCCGGTCAAGCTGGCCGCTGTACAAAAGCTTAGATTATTCCCTTTTCTGAACGTCCTGACGTCCAGATTTGTTGAGTTACAGTGGGCAATGAGCTTGGGTCCTTGAACAGCAGCTTGACTTGGCTTCCAGTTTTCAGAAAAGTGTGCAGCTGTAGTTAAACTGCTACATATATTCTGTTGAGAACAGCGCTTAAAGCAGGCCTTTAAAAGCAGTGGTGAAATATGACTTGTGTGGAATTTTAATATTGTACTTGGGATAAGAACTTGAGCGCTTTCTGGTGGGATGTTTAGCAACATGACCGTCAAATACGTAACATGTGTTTGCACCTCCTTTCCTAAAGGAGAATGTTTGGAGAAATGCAAAATATCATGTTTTAAATCACTTTAAAATGCCYTAAATGCCATGTACTTACAAGGGACCTATAAAGAAATGCTTTTTCCTTTGGGCAGAAGAGGAAGGCATGTGATGGTATTCCATTAAAGAACTGTTTGGAAAGTGTTCGGTGCTTTATTTTCTGCCTGCCAACAG